CCGCCTGTCACCTTGCTGGCGGGGAACCGCCACGCCTGTGAAGTCTCACGTTGCGGTGTTTTACCGAATAAGAGCAGACGTGAGCGCGTACTTACCTGTTTCCGCGCGTCGGCGTCGTTCCCGGCTGCTTTCTGCCGCTTCCCTCGCAGGGCCAGGCATTCAGGTGCGTCTACAGAGCGCTTTAAGGGATGCGGGAACCTAATTCCCGTTTCAAATGTACCCTCGCCACCCTGCCTTGCATTGCAACTTTGCTCCGAAGTGTCTTAAACTGCACCTGAGCCTGTGCCCTCCGTGCTTGTATGACGCAGTTAACCTTGGTAACTAAACCTGGTGTCATCTCGTCACCTCGTCAGCCGGGCTCTGAGGGCTCCAACCTGGGCTGAGGAAGTGGATCCTGATCCCGTGAGAAAACTGAGTCTGTCTGCACTTTGCTGGGCCAGGGTAGCAGCACGCCATGCCTTGTGAGCGTGCATAAGCAGGGATCTTTCTTAGACAGATAAAATGGCTGGGGAGGAGGAGCGGAGAGGGGAGGGGGTGTTTTGACTCTCCCAATTCCTGTGTTGGCTTCTGCTTGAAGGAAGAGGCAGCAAGCCCAGTAATGCTCGGTGACCTACTTACTAGGAGCAAAGAGCCTGCTAGGAACCTCTCTGGTCAGAGAAAGGACACGATCCCTGCTTCGAGGGGAACAAACCAACTGTCCAAACACTCACTTTTCCAACAGTACTGATGCCACAACCAATAAATGTTCCCTAACTCTGGTCTTCTCCTGTCCCATACAGATTAAGTCCCATAATAGAGCTAAGAGTAGCACCACGTCTTTTATTCTTTGCACTTAGTTCTAGCGTCTCATCGGTACAGTCTCAGAGAGCAGGAGCTGAAAATGTTTTTCTACAGTCGGAACAAAGCCTGGATGGCATCTCAAAGCCAAAACCAAGATTACTTTAATTTATCAAGTTTTATTTTCTCTTTTTTCAAACGAGCAACTTATTTTCTAACATTTGTAGTAGTAGAGTTTAGTAAGACCACAGCGGCTTTGCTCGCCTAATAGACGTTGTTCTAGAAAAGCTAAGATATGCTGTATGGTCCAGTTCTGCCACTGTGGGAACTCAGAGGTTTCACTTTGACAGTATGTTTGCAAAACAGAGCTAAAGGAGATGTGACATTCTCAGCTTTGAATTTTCTCAGTGGAATTCATCCGTATTGCTACTTCTTAACTGACTAAAGAGGATGCTGCAGAAATGCTGCCTAAAAGCCTACTGTCTTTGCAGCCTTTTCAGTTTATCAGGCAGCAGGATGGGAGAAATGTACATGCAGGGCTCTCACACAGCAGAGGGAGTTACAATTCCCCAAGGAAGGAACAGTAGGCCAGACTTTTTATACAGTTGTTTTTAAAATTATTTCTTGATATGTTTTTCTTTTTCTTTAGAACAGCAGGGAAAGAATGTCAGCCTAAACTCTTGGGGGAAGCTCAGTCTTCCACATACCTCTTTTTCGTTAATAGAGTTTAACGAAGGAGTTGAGCAAAGTACAGTGATTTAGGTCAATGTCAGTGACTGAATCAGGATGGTCTGTGGGCACTGCATTCATGCTAAAATCTAGTGAGAGCAGCTCACTATTTGCAGTGTTTCTAAATGCCCCAGACAGTGGTTTCCTTCTCACTTCCAAGTCAACATAAGCCCAGGCAGAGCTTACTGGCTTGGCACAAGCATCTGCTGAGTATACGGATATAAGAGGAAATATATAGGAGGAGCAAATAGGAGGCTTTAAAGAAACATTACATTCCAGCTGTGTGATTTCTTAAAACACATAAATATCTTGAGTTAATTCTCTCCTGGACAGAAGTTGCTGATGGGGTACAGGAAAAGCCATTGCATCCTCCGCTGTTTCCAAATAAGTCACTTTTTCCTATGAGAGCTGCAAGTGTTATTTCTTCTTTCAAAAATGTTGTTGTAATCATTTGTCACAGCTCTCTCAAGAAATCTGTTTTCTCCAAATTTTTATCATTCGGGCTGAACATGTAAGAGACTATTCTCATGTTGTTTAGACCTGAAATATCATGATTTCTTTTTAAAAAAAGGTAAAACAAATTTACATAACAATTAACTAGTGCCTGTTAACTGTAAAGAGACTGTCTGACTTTCTCTGTGTAAAAATACTTAACTCAGATGAACTTGCATCTCCATTTCTACTATTAATGCCAAGTGTGAAAAGAAAAGTGATGTTTATTACTGTTATACAGATTATTAGCTACCTTTAGTTAATCATTTTATCAGATTCCTATCTCAAGCTGTAGCACATTTCTTATAATCCAGAGAAAGGAGAGAAAAAAATCTCAGAAGCAAAGGGAGGAAATCACTTCCTAAGTTAAAGGTCACAATCAAAAGCCCTAAAGAGTGAGATTAGTTATTTAAACAAATATAAGTAGTACAGGAAGGATAGTAAGCCTATTGAAAGTATTTGGAATCACTCCTTTGCTGTTACCTTTTCTGCCATGGTTTTAGCAAGGTTCTTAAAATAGTTTAGGGTGCCTCTGCCATTATCTTGATCTTTCTGAAAGTTAGAAACCTCATCGTAACTGCCTGGCTAAGTGTATTCATGAGGAAATCATACTCCTTTGACCTTGTAACAGTATTATCTTTTAACTTAAATAGCTCTGTCCCTCCCTAGTATCTGCCCTTCAAATATATTTACAGAGAGTAATCACACTCCTCAAGTCGTTTAACCTCTTGTAAAACAGATTCTCCGTTCCTCCAATCACCCCACTAGTCTTCCTCTGTCTCTGCATGTTTTTGAACACAAATGACTAGAAACACGCGCAGTGCCTTATCTGAGTTTAGTGGTGTCTTATACAGTGGCACTGATATTTCTTCCTATCTGCTGAAAATACCAGGCCTGCTACCTCATAGACTGCTCTTTGCATTATTCATGGTTCCTCACATTGGAGTCATGCCATCCTGAGCCCTCTCTTCTACCGCATGCTCCCCACCTCATAGCAGAGATTCTTGTAAGAAACCTTAAATGGAAGACTGTATACCTGGTAGTCTTGCATTCTGAGATATTGCTCAATTGATCGAAGAAACGGGACTATGCCAAAAATGGGACTATACTGCGAGAAACAGGGACATCAAGAAATAAATATATTGAAATATGAAGTTTTTTGCATTGTTCTACCTGTTGTGACAATAATGGATACCTAATAGATCTGAACTGAGAAGTGACACTTATTTTCTGCCTGAGTGAAATTAATTTCCTGTTCAAATTGCAAATTACTGTATTTTCTTCAAAAAATAAAAGGATGACAACAAATGGTAATGGTAACAGTTTCTGAGATGTTACAGTAAATATGCATTTTTTTCAAGCACTTGGAAAGCTGCTTCAGAAAAATCACGAATTCTCTGTGATCCAGAGTGTGCTTGCATCTAAACCTCTTTAATTTTCATAGGATATAGCCGTGTCTTATCCTGTTAATCATGTTGACAGGCATTGTCTGATGCATTTCTTTGGTATGCTTACAGATTGGACTGTAATATTCTGCAGACCTAGAATGTGTTTATTCAAGGGTTTTACAGATGGCACAAATCCAGCTGTAGGTATAGCAGCCAAATGAAGGTTTTATGAGTAGATGATGATGCTTCTATTGCAATGACATTCAGAATCTCACTCCTATTCCAGTTGTGGTAGGTGCTGTACAAGAAATCTCTGTCTTGTGAGTATAGGGCCTGGAGGACTTGTATAATGGCTTAACACAACTCATAAAAAACCTCAAATAATTTCTCAAATTTTTTGTGTACGTGTTTTCTAATGCATTTTTTCTAAATCAAGAGAGTGAAAATGGACCCATTTCACTTTGATAAATAGTGAATCTCCACCATTCCCCACATGCACTCTCACACTGTTGCATTTGCAAGCAAGGCAAGGGGATGCCTAAGTGCACATTAGAGCAGTTTCACATCCAAATTGCAAATTTTTAAAAAGCAGAAGTTTAAAGATAGTTTGCTCAGCCCAGATATTGTTTTTTGTCTGGCTTTCAAAGTGCTAAGCTGACAACAATTCCTCCTGATCAGAATGGGACCATTAAAAGGTTAAGGCTGTGCAGTACCAATGAGGAATGACTGGAGGAAGAGGAAAGGTTCACCATCTGAGGTTTTACAAAAGTTTTTTTTTTTTTAAGTCAGCTTCATTTTGTTGTTTCCCAAAGAACAAAGTCCAGCATGAAGCACTACTCCACCTTGAGCTGATTGGTGAGGTCACCTCACCCAATTTGTGTGTTCCATATTTGCTCCCTTCTCAGCCTCTCTA